AGTACCTATATATGTAGTATCAAAGCAATTGGACTTGCGGTTTTAACAAGAAGTCGAAAATATCACTTTTTACCAAAAATGACAAAAATATTCACCAAAATTAGAGAATTAAAGATATCATTACAAAATGAACAAATCTGAGAGAGGTCCACATGTAGTACCTATATATCTAATATCAAAGCAATTGCACTTGCGGTTTTTAACAAGAAGTCGAAAATATCACTTTTTACCAAAAATGACAAAAATATTCACCAAAATTAGAGAATTGAAGATATCATCACGAAATGAACAAATCTGCGAGAGGTCCACATGTAGTACCTATATATGTAGTATCAAAGCGATTGGACTTGCGGTTTTTAACAAGAAGTCGAAAATATCACTTTTTACCAAAAATGACAAAAATATTCACCAAAATTAGAGAATTAAAGATATCATTACAAAATGAACAAATCTGAGAGAGGTCCACATGTAGTACCTATATATGCAATATCAAAGCAATTGCACTTGCGGTTTTTAACAAGAAGTCGAAAATATCACTTTTTACCAAAAATGACAAAAATATTCACCAAAATTAGAGAATTGAAGATATCAACATGAAATGAACAAATCTGAGAGAGGTCTACCCAAGGTACATATACACCAAGTATCAAAGCATTCAGGCTTGTAGTTTTCAAGAAGAAGTCGAAAAAGTAAAACATTGACACGGACGACGACGACGGAGACGACGACTGACAGTCACTCATATGATAAGCTCCGCTCGACAAAGTCGACAGCGGAGCTAAAAATCTGAAATCTGAACTAATCAGTTCTTTTAGATTTGATAATTAGCGTGAGAATTTCTAGGAACACTGATTTGTCGCAAGATTTTGGAATCAACTTTTAATACATGAGTCTTTGTGTGAGATCTTCAACAGTGCAAGGGACATCAAGTTACAAACAGGTTGGCTACATAAGAACACGAGACAAAGAGCAAATCATCCAACAGAAAAATGTGTGCATCCTCTAAAGCCACCCGTCAAGATGGTACGTACCACGA